ACTTATTTCTTGCATATTCTATCTTTTTCTGCTTTATGGCTCTTACATATCCGGCCCCTAATTGGGTATATTGTAAGATTACTCAATTATAATTAACTTAAACTAAGAGCCATCAAATCAAGACTATTAATAAACTACAAATAAACAATCTTAAAGTAAAAGAGTCCTTTTATCTTCTTTCTCTTCATATGGCTTCTTGCAATAAGCATAGCTTATGCACAGATCTCTCCAGGATGCTGTTCTTCCTTTGATACTTGACACGACGTACAGTTCCTTCCTCCTCTAGGAGGAGAAATATGCTGCACTTGCTTTACAAAGGGTCCTCTTAAACAGCAGTAAATTATTTTTCCAGACTAGGTAGGATTCCCATAGGCCTGTGGAGCGATATTTTCTCTCCAGTTTCCTAGTATTTTGCTTCAAAATGCACAGCTCTGCATCAAACCAAGGAGCAAGCTTTCTATTTCTGTATATATAGTATGAAACTATCCCGAAATGACCTGTATGAACCTACTCACTAAATTTTTTGTACTTTTTCAGACTGGAAGCAAAATTTCTTTGCTTCGTTTCAGATTTGTGGAGATTTTGATGTAACATACAGTACCTGCCTTTTTGTTGATTTGTTGAGACAGCAACTCTATCTACAGCATATTTACATGCATGAAATGTCCCTTTCATTTACCCTTAACTGCTGTATGACAAGATACTGAGGAAAAAATGGGGTAAATGTGTGTTCAGAGTAAACAATACATGGATGTCCAGTACTTTTTTTGGATGCCTTGACCCATTTATTTCTACTGTGTAGTTATGCTCACTTTAGTACAGCTCAGTCCATAGATCTCTGATGGATACGTTTTTCTTTCTATTTTTTCTTCTTGTGCAAATGATGCAAAGCTGCCTCTCTGACAGTCAATCTCACACATCTGCAACTCAGCACCTTTCCTGTTATAATGCCCCACTAGAAGTAGTGTTATCATTCTTCCATCTCTTATTAAGTGAGATCACATTGTACAATGTATTTCTAATATGAACTGTTTCACATGAAACACTTACTGTGCATACCATTCTCACCAAACTGTGATGACTGTGATTAAATTCAGTGTAAACAAATGCCCTATGTTGCCACCCCTAAAAAATTCCTGCCCCCCTCTTGCCACCCCATAAATATTTTTCTACATCCGCCCCTGAATAGACAGAAACTAGTCAGACAGCAATGAGACAGTTCTGACCCAGATTCTGGTCCTCTGTCTGTGCTGGAGCTTCATGAACATCTTCATCTTCAGTAGGACAGCCCCACCCTGTTGGTAGTGAACTATTTCAGTGATGAAGAAATGTCTCCATAGACGGAGGAAGAGGAGCAAACCCCAGAGTGGAGAAAGATCCAGAACCGGAGCTGGACCGCTGACAGCCAATCAGAGCAGCTGTGCAGCAGGTAAGACTGAACATCTCCAATCAGAGCTTCCTTCTTTCATCTCTGTTGAACCAATTCCACGTCTTTAGTTGGATTTGGAGATTCAAGCTTTTCAAAGTCTTTCTGGGATCAATTATTCCCACTACATCTCAGTATTTCCAGCTGCTGTAAATGTTGCTTCTGTGTTCAACCCAACAACCCATTGGGTTTGCTGAACTGGTTTTGTTTTCAGCCCTTTGGACTTAATGCAATCAAACTGAACTTCTCCTTAAAGCTGGAGGTCATTTTGATGCATGAAAACGAAAAGGTGGAGAAAGCAACTTGCTGCTCTGCTGCTTTTCCAAGAAGAGTGAAGGAAAGTCTGAGAGACAGAAACCTGGTTTCCTCTGACAATAGATCACTGATTACAGGATNTTATTCTTATACATTTTTCTAAGGTCCTCTTTTGTGTGACCATTTTCAATAATCTTTCTGCTGCTGTAAATTTGCCCATTGTGGGACAATAAAGGGATTTTCTATTCTATTCTATAAAAGGGTTAGAAATACATAAGTAAATCTAAACAATGTATGTATAAAAATGGTGTCCTGGTTTTCCCAAATGAAAATATGGTCACCCTACTGTATGCTGCTTGGGGTCTGGGCTGGTGTATGCCTGGCTGTATAGCCCTGTCGGACCTGGTGGGGGGGCACGGACATTAACACCTTATGGCAGATGCTTACCCCTTCAGCGGTGTCCATCCTGGTGGCTGGCTGGCTTGTGGGCACTGCCGCTGGTCCCTGGCCCCCGGGTTATGGTGTTGCAAATGGTGGGGGCCCCCTCTCTGGGGGGTCTCGGGAAATGGGGGTGTCTATTGGAGTCAGCAGGGGAGCTGGCTCCCTGGGAGTGCAGTAAGCGCCCCAGTCCTTTGCTCCCCATCCCTGGATTCCTCCCTCTGCCTGCTCCACCACACTGCCACACATGTAGGTTCTTGGGGAGGGGGTCGTTACTGGAAGGCCCCCACCTCCTGATGATGTCCCCCACCCCAATTTTATTTTGCATTTTAGGCACTTCCATCTACAACATTTTCACAACACACATCTATGTAGTGCAGGGATGTCAAACTGGTTCCAGAAAGGGCCGAGTGGCTGCAGGTTTTGTTTCCAACCAAGCAATAGCACACCAGACTCCATTCATCTCATCAAGTGAGTTTAGTATTAGCCTGATGACTTGACGATTGACTGGAGTCTGGTGTGCTATTGCTTGGTTGGAAAGAAAACCTGCAGCCACTCGGCCCTTTCTGGAACCAGTTTGACACCCCTGATGTAGTGCATTGTCTGGGGGGGTGGGGATCAAGGGCACGGGGGGGCTCATTTCACCACGGTCAGCCCCCCCATCCCCTCTCGCATTTAGACATTGAGGGTTCTCGGTTGTTGATGGGGGGGTGTGCTGTGCTGGACAACCCCTTTTGGTACTCCCAGTGCCCGGGTGCTACTGGCTTACTCCTGGTGGCTTCCCCGTGGGGCCTGGCCGTCCGGGGCCCGGCTGGGGCTCCCGCCGGGGGGTGGTTCTCCCCGGGGGCCTCGGATCCCTGGAGCCCATTGCCGGATGCACTTCGGGGTGGCTGGCTGCTGGCAGAGCCTGCGGCTCCTGGGGACTCCGGCATTGCGGTGACCAGGCGACTTTTTTGGGCTGCCTCTCCTCCCTTGGTGGGTGATTTCCTGGGCTGGCCCCTCCTTAGTGCCTTCGCTCTTGGGGTCCCTTTGGACGTCTGGGGCTTTGGGTCTTCCGGCGCTGGACTCCTTCGGCTCGCCACAACCACTATTGAGCATTTTTCCTTTGGATAAACTTTACATGCACAAGTGCGCTCTCACAAACAACTGCAGGTGCTTGGTTCCAGGTACTTAGAGATTCACCAGAAAGCCCATATTCTTATCTTCAGGTAACACAAAGGACATGTTAGATTAAATAATACTACTTATACTTCAGCGATAGTATCTACAGTCATGGCCAAAAGTATTGAGAATGACACAAATATTATATTTTCACATGATCTGCTGCCCTCTGGTTTTCATGTGTGTATGTCAGATGTTGTCATCACATACAGAAATACAATTGCAATCATATTATAAGTAACAACATTTTTTAATGATAGTTAGAATAAGTTA